AAGTACTAGAACAAGGAGTTCAATCTGTAACTGACGGTGAACAATCAAAGTGAGATAACTCACTACCTTCGGACCAGCCTTTTTTGTTTGTTTGTTTTTGAGACAGAATCTTGCTCTGTCACCTGGGCTAGAGTGCCATGGCCTCACCCTGGCTCAGCAACCTCAAACTCCTGGGCTCAAGCTATTCTCCTGTCTCAGCCTCCTGAGTAGCTGGGACTACAGGCACACACATCACTGTGGCCGGCTAATTTTTCTACTTTTAGTAGAGACAGGGTCTCCCTCTTGTTCAAGCTGGTCTCGAACTCCTGAGCTCAAGTGATCCTCTTGCCTTGGCCTCCCAGGGTGCTAGGATTACAGGCATGAGCCACTGCACCCAGCCATGAAAAATAAATTTTAAAAAATGAAAGAAAACAAAAGAAAAAAAAAGAATCTCTCTCTGACTTGTTATCCATTGAATTTCTTTCATTTTGAAAGCCTTCACATTTTTTAAATTCCATTATTCCTGCTATCAGAATGTGTTTGTTTTCTTGGATTAAAAATTATTTGACCGGAGGGAAGGGGGAAGAGGGTGAAGGGGACGGGTATTTGCATACACAAAGAGTGCAATGCGCACCACCCGAAGAATGGACATATTTGAAACTTGGACTTGGTGGGGGGAGCAAGGGCAACATATGTAACCTAAACATCTGTACCCCCATAATATGCTGAAATAAAAAAAAAAAGAAAAAACAATTATTTGACCATTTGTAGAATAGTTGCTATGTATACGTATAGACAGTTGTATGTGGTCAGCTAACATGTAACTTTTTCTTTTTTGAACAGTGACAGAAATGTTGGTAAATGTTCTGAGTATTTGCTCTGATGATGAGCTCATGACTGAAGGTGAAGACCAGTTTGATGGTATGATTATTCATCTTACTATTTCTTATTGTGAAGTGGTATCTGTTAACTGCCCAGCTTCAATACACACAATTTTGCAAAAATTAGTCATTGCTTTCAGATGACTATGCTATTTGATAAGTGACAAGTCACTTTTTCAGATATTGTTTAAGGTTTAAACATAATTTTAGTGATTTTATTTTTTTATGGTAGTATGGGAAAAAAAGTTGGATTTTGGGAAAGGGAAAATTTGGAAGAAAGAACAGAAAGACAGAAAAATTGAAAGGTATTACAAGGATGTGGTTCTTCATGAATATGGACACTGCTTAGAGAAGGGAGGATAAAGATACTGTTTGTTTCATTAGTACAGTAATCTTAGTGCATCAGAAACACACCTGAACTCACAGTGTTGCTTTGACTTTTTTCTTCCAGACACTAAAGTAGACTGTTCCCAGTGTAGTGTGATTGTGTTGTAAAGGACCACTTGCTAATTTAGTTTGAGATTCTGAAACATTTTTTCCATAGAAACAAGGTTATATGTGGTTGTTCTTATATAAGCCAACAAGTCTATGTGCCTAATGTAAATTTATAGTATAAATTAATACTGTAGAAACAAAATTCCTTTTATTTTTGTTTTGAAATTTTTATTTAAAATTTTTGTTATTTAAATATTTAAAACTTTATTAACTGAGTAAATAAAAAAGTAAACAACTTATTATATAAGCTGAAAACTCTTTATTCTCTTCCATATTCCCCTAACATCTTTGCTTCAGTATAGTTTTTATGATTGTTACTAGTATTTAATTGTTTCCATGTATCAAACATGGTCTATATATTGGTAAGATTTAATAGCTACATATTTCTAAGTATATTAATGTACTATAATTTTCATAGTTAATCTCATATTTGGCAGTTGTAGATTATCCTTATTGTGAATAGCAGTACAATAAACATATTTGTATAGTACCTTTTATTTTCCTCCTTGGAATAAATTTCTTGAAGAGAATTACAGAGGTACAAAATATAAAGAATTTTAGCTTCACTGCTTTAGCTGTGAACTACCAGGTTGCTTTGCAGGAGAACTGGACCAATGTGAATTGCCTCCAGCAATGAATCCATAGAACTCTTTCTCCACAGGACTACCTCATTGGATTTTGGTTATTTTTATTTATTTTGCTTGGTGGCTATGTAACAGTAAATTATGATTGGTTAAATTTACATTTCTTTGATTTCTAAGGATGCTAAGAAGAAAATTACTATTTTTCCAATTGTGTAAATTATCCATTTCATCTGATTACTTATCAAGTAAAATCTGAGTAAGAACTATATAGAAATTTCTCGACTTGTAAGCCCATTTGTTAAAAGTACAAAGTAACTGTGTACAAGTGCTGCTGTTACTATCTATTGGTGGTAAGCAGAGGTGTGTTTTAACTCTTGTGCTTTTGTTAATGACTGAAATAAGTGTATTTATATCAGTTATTTTTGGGTTTAGATAATAAGGTTTATGAGTAATATTTTTCCTTATTTTAATTCACCTTTTGATGTTTTTAGTTTTAACATTTTATCATATATGTCTTTTCCATAAAAATTTTAAGTAGTTCAGATAATTTGTTTCCTTGTTCTGCTACTGTTTGTTACAAAAGTAGACCTGGGCTCATATTCTAGTTCCTTATAATGGCTGTGTGGCTTTAGGCAAGTTACCTAACCCATCTGAGTCTCAGTTTCCCTCGTCTTCAGAAGGAGGATAATACTTAATAATGTTTTAGGTATTGAGATAATGAATATTTGAGATAATGACTGAAATAATTCTTGGCACATAGCCTA